CACGCTTATATATTATCAGTTCTTTTTAGCATTGCATGTGTTGTATGTATTTAGTATGGGAAAACTATACGTACTTATTTTAAGCTTCTTTTGGCAGAAAGTACTTATTTTAAGTTTTGAGAAGTATATATATAATTAAACTGGTCTTTTTTTATGATTTAGGATATTAAATTAGATTTTAATGGCAAACGTTCCATTTCATTTGGAAAAACGAGACTCAAACCAGTTTAACATCTTCAAAAGGATTGTATATATGCTTTTTTTTTTTTTTATTTGAGTATATGAGAGAACTAAATTAATTACATTTGGTATGTTATTGAAGGTATATAGTGCAGTTGTTTTTGACATTTCTCCATGACATCCATCAACTAGCTAGAGGGTCTAGCTGGTTAGTTTAAATTATAAAGTGGAGATAGACAAATGGGTAAATTAATACCTCATATATATATTGGAAAAATTTTAGGATAAGTAATACTCACCCGGGTAGTTATACTTAGCCCCTCAAACTTTTATTTGCCATAAAGACCCATCTTGAATTTTAACATTTCAGCACTTCGTTAGCATTATGTTACTTAACTTTACAAAAGTAATGTTTTCAAACCACAGTTGACACAAATGGTTAGACTGTTCGGTCCGAGAACCATTTAGGCAACTGGTTCCGTTTTACTCCAAACCTAATTCCTGGCAAAAAAACTGTTGAATTGGTCAATGACCTGACCCAGGTGGTCGAACCGTCGACCTGTTCAATGGTTTTTGGCCTTTTTTATTTTAATTATTTTTAATTTTGTTGCAGAACGGGCCGTTCGTTCAAATTGGACGGTCAAATCGTCGACCCAAAAACCAGTGACCAGAACAGTTTCGGTTCTAGGTCATTTTTTAAAACATTGTAGAAAAGATTCTCATGCTCATGTAATTATCATTTATGTTTTTAAAACAATTCAAAAACTCTAAATTGTCCTTATATGATTTCATGAGACCATTTTATAGGAATTTGATAAAATACAACAAAAAATAAGAAAAATAGGAAGTTGTAGAAAAAACATGAAGTACAAAAAAAATGAAGGAAAAGAGGAAAATATAACAAAGTATACATAGAAAAATAGAAACTACATAAAATACAACAAAGAAGAAAAGGAAAAGATAAACAAGAAAAAACAATAAAACAATAAAATTACAAAAAAAAAAAACTGAAGATACAACCAAAGATACCATGTTGTTACATGCCTATTTTCATGAATTTGATATTTTCTTCTTGTAAGGGGATCAACCTAAGTAGCATTGCAGATTAACAATCGCGACAAGACCAACCAGGTCCGACTAACCAAACTCTCGGGTCAATTTGGCTCATTTTACTGATTAAATATACAAGTGCTGAATTTTTTAGCACAATTAATGAATATTTTAGAAATCAAGAAAACATTATTGAATAAGAATAAACATGAATGTTTTAGAAATAAATATAGGTAAGCAAGTAAATAGGCATGTGATTAATAAGATAATTTTAGAAAGATATTTAGCCACATTTAAAATTCTAGAATACAAGGGTAAAATAGGAAAAGCATAGACTCAAGAAACTTTTGGAATGTGCACCCAAAAACTATAAACTGGTGCTTTCCATCCATTTCAAGGGGCTAGGAATCATTTCTTACAACAAAGGGACACTACAAGTAAAATGGGCTAGGTTGATAGTCCACCGGCTTAGCCTTTTAAACCGCCATCTTAGACATTCTCCAGCGGTATTGCAACCAATTTCTTAGGCATTGTCGGCCTAGCTCCGACGGTTCTATAATGACCGCTGGCTTAGACTGAGACAAAAGACAATGCTAATAACTTACTCACTCACTCACTCTCCTCCTCCTCCTCCTTCATTTGTCGTAGCCATGAACACCGAACTAATGGTAGTAATAACTTCCCTCTTTCTCTCTCCCCCATTTTCTCCTTGTTCTTCTCTCTCCTTCCTATAACTCTTCATTGATCTCCTCACTTGACAAAAATACAGCAAAACTATCGTTCCTCTTCAACCTCCAAACATTACAGAACACCACCATTCACCATTGTGCTTACAGTGCCTGTTAGAGAAGATGTTCTTTTCTATTGTTCGAGAGGAAAGAACTTGAATTAGGGATTGAATTGGGTTTAAAACGGATATCACATGTCACTTTGAAAAGTTTTAGGTGTATTTAGGATTTTGGTCAGGCTTTGAAATGCATCTAATTGCATTAAGCAACTCGGCCACCATGTCTTACTATTTCAGATCTATTTTATATTTGATTAGTGTGTGTGTTTGGACCTAAATACAAATGGGTTGTACATCTGAAAAAGTTGCTTTTTCAGATGTTAGATATCTGAAATGTGTTATCAAATGCCACCTAAGACATGTTTATTAGGCTGGCGAAAAAGTAGGATCGATAGAGGGTACAGTACGTCATTGCCAAGTACTGCTCCTATGTTTTGGCTTAATAAAAAAAAAAGAAAAAAAAAACAAGGGCAAATGTAGGAAAATGACAAATAAATAAGGATATTAGTAGAACTTGAAAGTTTGATCATGAACAGAAAAAGGGGGAGTGAAATTGTCTCTTTTATTATTGGTTATAGATTTAAATACTTCAAACTGCCCTTGGCTCATGTCTAGGTAATGGAGATTTTTATTGCATTGCTGATGGGGTTTTTCACCATCTTTGAGAGGATCATTTGTAGTTTTTGAGTTGTTCTTTCTTCCAATAATAAAAAAGGCAAACTCTAAGGCTGTGTTTTATTTGATAGAAAGATAAGAGAAATAGAAGGTTAAGGGAAAGCTTATAAGGAATTTCACAAAATTTTTTAAGAGCGTTCCCTCAACTCAATGTTTCTCTTTTATTTTCTATCAAACAAAAGATAGCTTAATTTTCTATTTGTTGTTGGTAATTTTTTGGGCAAAGTTTATTTTTGATTATCTCGTTTCTCTGACCAATTAGGCTGCATTTGTCATTCCTTATTTTAAGGACTTATCTCCTTTTTGTAGTTAAAAATTCATTGTTCAAAGGGGCATTTTAATTACAAAAAAGAGATAAGTTCTTAAAATAAGGAATGCCAAATGCAGCCTTAGACATTGAGACATTAAAGCTAAGGGAAAATTCATAAGGAATTTTACAAATTTTTTTTAGAGTTTTCCCTCAACTTTATGTTTCCCTCTTATTTTCTTTCAAACAGAAAAATAGCTTAAATTCCTATTTGTTGTTGGTATTTTTTTGGGCAAAGTTTAGTTTTGAATATCTCATTTCTCTGACCAATTAGACATTAATGTTGTGTTTGGTTTAACAGAAAGTAAGAAAGAAACATAAATGTGAGGAAAATTCCTAAGTAACTTCGCATATTCTGATAAGAAGTTTCCCTCAAATTTCTATGTCCCTCTTACTTTCAATCAAACCAAACACTTAAATTGTGTTCCTTCCATGTAGAAAAGGACGGCCAAGCTGCATATACTAGATAAATGTCCATCCTCCACAACATAGAGATAAAAATCAGTTTTATGATAGATTTGGATTTATGGTACGTAGTAGCCGTAGATGGGAAATCTAAACCATGGATATGTTGACAGTGATGTCGTATATCCTTTTTTTTCCTGAAATTAATGTCTCGATACCATCTGCCTGATTTCCCTTCGCATGTCATCTTCTGTCTTAATTATTTGTAGCATTTTTTTTGTACATTATATGTCAATATCTTTGACCTACATGTCCTAACTCATGTCATGACACATGCATCCTAACTATTAACGTGGTGGGAGCCCAGGAATCAGGCCGATAAGATCCATCAGTTATTGTTACCGTGTACCCTTTGGTCTGTAACTGGCCCACTGAGGCCGTGGCCCACCATTTGAAATATTTGGATTGGCAATTGGGATATATATATATATATATATATATATATATATATATATATATATTTATTTGTTTATAGTGCAAATTTCACTTGCAGTGCATGGTTGTGCAAACCAAACAGTGCAAATTTGGTTTACTTTTGTCTCAGATTTTATTTTATTTTGTTTGTTTAGAAGTGGTAAAATTGGAAGTAAAGTGATGTGGTCTCCACTTTATATATGAAAGAATTATGGAAGGTTGTTTGTTTGGAATGAGTATCATGCAAAATAAAATTATGTGGTCCACACACTTACATGAGAGAGAAGATAAAGAGGAGAGAATTGGTACAAAATTTGCGCCAGTTTTTGGAATTCAAAATTTATATTACCGATGAATGTAAATGAGACAAGTAAAGAAAAAGCAAATTTTGCATCTATAAATCATATATAGTACAAATAAATGTGAACTAAATGCAAATTAATTTGCATCTGATTTTGATTTACATTAGGTTGTGCAGAGCATATATGATGACGCATCCACACACTAGTAGGCTAGTAGCTGACTGCCGGAGGTTGAAATCCACAGTCCCTAATTGCTTCCTACGTTTCACACCCAGGAGTTGTAATGCAGTGGCTCACATCTTAGCTCATCAGTCTCCATCTCACGTGTGGGTCATCATGTTTGGGATATTGCACCCGATTTCCTCTCAAGCTCTTTACTGGGTGATTTCTAATGCTTGTTATTGATGAATGAATTATTCTTACTGGCTTAGAAAAACAGATGCATGGTATATTGAAGTCCTTATAAAAATAATCTTAAAATAAATTAATCTATTGATTTTCTGGGATAAGTCAGTCAGGTTATAGTATTCAATTGAATTATCGAATTGATTAAGAGAAGGAGAGCTACAGGTTTCTATTAGCATTATATATACTATATACTCTAACCCTAACCCTAATCCTAACCCTAATGTTAACTCAAATTAAAGAATTAAGCTCCTAAAACCACTCCTTTTGGTCTGAAAACACTGTCACCACCTTTTCTGCCCCACTTTGTGAAAAAAGCAAAAGCAGAAAAAAGCAAGAAAGAAAAGAAAAACATAAAAGAAAGAAACAAAGAAAAAAATCAATAAAGAAAGAAAAGACAGAGAAGAAACAGAAATCAAAGTTTTCTCAGCCTATGTATCAAATTCTTCAAAAAAGGACTTGTGCTTGCTCACCCTCACCCGCACCCGGAGGAGTAAACCCATTACTCTCAAAGCTTGTGAAAGGACTGTTCGAGAGCTCCAACGAGGAAACAACACGAACAAAGATAGAGTGAAAGAAAAGGGAAGGGAATTGAGGCATGAATCGGGGTGTTTTGCAGAGTTCACCGGTGCAACAAATGATGGCCGGAAGCCCTAACTGGTGGAGCATTAATAACATGCGCCCACCACCTCAACAACCCTCTCCTCTCCTGCCTTCTCCTTCCTCTTTCTTTCCTCAGTATACACCTCCACCTTCCTCACTTCCTGTAACATATTGGAATGATAACCAAGATCTTCCAGAGTCTTGGAGCCAACTGCTACTGTAAATCTCTCTTCTCTCTCTCTCTCTCTCTATGTTTATTTCTGTCTACGTATTTTTCTTTCTTAGTTCTGGCTATCTTCTCCTATCGTTTTACATGGAATTTGATCCATATATATCTTTTTTTACCTAACAATTTTTTACCCTTTTAACCATCTTAATTTGCATGGTTTGATCTAGAAATTTTTTTCTGTTTGTTTCCGGTCAACTCATTCTCTACCGTCTATTGATCTTAACTTCTTATTGGTTATCGTATTCTTTCTTTGTTTTTATTTTTCTTGTCAAGGGTTTATGGTTAAGAAGGTGAAGATTTTGAGGTTGTTTGATCATTGTCTTTCAGGGGTGGATTGGTAGGCGAAGAAGATAGGGCTGGTCTGAATCATTTTCATCACGCTAAGAAGATGGAAAATTGGGAGGACCAATTATTGTATACATCACAAAACGTTCCTGTTGTTGATGTTAAACAAGAGGTCTCGGAAAATGGTTACGTTTATGGTCATGGAAATGAAGAATTTCAGGCAGCGAGATCTTCTTCTTGGTCTCAAATCATGCCAGCTTCCTCTCCGAGGTCGTGCATCACTAGTTTCAGCAGTAACATGTTGGATTTCTCTAACAACAAGTCAGATGGAAGGCATCAAAAACCAGATCACTCGTCTGAGGTGAGACAGTTTAATGATCCTAAGTCCTCTTCAGCACCAGGATCTATGGAGAAATCAATCTTAAGGTTGAGTCTGTTAATTATATAAATATTTCAAAGTACAAACCAAAAGAATTTCTAGCACTGAAGGCCTCCTAAACTTCGAATTCGTTATTCGTTGTTTTCAGCCTTTGCTGTGAAGGAAGAGGCATGTGAAACCCAAATTATCATGTACTAGATTTGAATTAATTGTTTTAGTAAGTGCCCAACTTTTTCTTGGGTTCTTATTTTCCGATTACTTTTCTTAAATACTTTTTGCAGTGTAACAGCACGGCCACCGGTGGTGTATTTAAGAAGGCTAGAGTTCAACCTCCTTCAACCCAACCTACTTTTAAGGTAATTGACATAGAGCTCTCTCTCTCTCTCTCTCTCTGGCGACTGCTTGTCTATGTCTGTGTGTTTTTGTGATTGGTCTTTCTTAATTGTCCATTTCTCATATAAGCGTCATTCTTTAGCTGCTTTCACCTCAGCCATACAGAGGAGAAAAAAAAAAGATAAATTAAACATAAATTCGAAAATTTTGCAGACAAGTTATCGAGTGGCTTCATCTTTATGTATTTTCTCTTTCCTTTTTGTTTTTACCAGGTGAGGAAGGAGAAACTAGGTGACAGAATAACAGCCCTCCACCAGCTAGTTTCCCCATTTGGGAAGGTATGATATAAACTCTCTGCACTACTGGACTCTCTAAGCTTAGAATGTATACAAAGAGAGAATAATACAGCTATAGTTTTATTTATGATGAAACCCATAAAGAGAAGTTCTTTACACAGGTGAAGTCTCTCTTTCTCTCTATTTTTTTTTTCTTCTTGTTCTCCTTTAGCATTAAAGAATGACCTGAATGTGACTCGGGTTGTGGTGGGTATTTTCTTTTTGCAGACTGACACGGCTTCTGTCCTGTTAGAAGCTATTGGGTACATTAGATTCCTTCAGAGTCAAATTGAGGTGATATTTTCCTCCTTTAAATTTGCAAACAACCATGAATCAGTATGGCACGCAGTTAAAGCTTCATTTCTGCATCTTCTTTAACATCTTTAGTTATCGAAGTTTGTATTCTCAGGTTTTTTTATTTTCTTTTGCTTTTAAATCCCTGAGTTTCTCTCTTGATTCCTTGAATGCAGGCTCTCAGCTCCCCGTACTTGGGCACTGGATCAGGAAACAAGGGGCAACAACAGTCTGTAAGTAACTGTATAAACCACATTTCCCAATGCGAGACCCCCTCCTTTCTTCTCTCTCTCTCTCTCTCTCTCTCTCTCGTGTAACATTGTGTGTGGTTCGTAGGTATGTGCATTCTGGGTTTGCATGTTTTCTGGTTTCATTCTCTGTGTGTGTATGTGTATGTGTTTTTACAGTAATGATCATTTAGGACGTTTTCCTTTTAGGTTCAAGGGGAGAGGAATTGTATATTTCCTGAAGACCCTGGTCAGGTATGCTTTATTGGATCCATTATTTCCTTAAAAGCAACTATACATGCTTGAAATTGAAAAGCTAAATTTTTATTGTTCTCTTCAACAAAAAGGGTATCCAAAGAATAAAGTTCTAAGCTCAGCTTTATACACTTTAATTTTGTATTATATAAATGAGAAAGAAAAAAGGTTGATCGAGTATTAGAACGATAAACAGTGAATGAAAAGAAGTCACACCATGATGGTACACTAATGGTACTTTGCTATTATTTATTTTCTTTTGTGCAGTTGTTGAACGATAACTGCATAAAAAGAAGAGGAGCTCCTGAGCAGGTCTTCCCTCCCATTTCACTGAAACTGTTTAGTTTTTTTTTTAATACAAACTCATCTTCAGAGAATTTGTTTCTTTGAACTGGGGATTGATTGAAAACTAAATATTAATTGCGTTGATGGAAATGTTAGGATTCTGAAGATGAGCCCAAGAAAGATCTGAGGAGTAGAGGGTTGTGCCTGGTTCCAATTTCTTTCACAGTGCATGTTGGGAGTGACAATGGAGCGGATTACTGGGCTCCATCTCTTGGCGGGGGATTCCGATAGATAGGAAGTGTTGGTTCTCAACACACTAAAGATTCATGAAATGATATAACATCATGAGCAGTCACTCTGCTAAAATTAAGGCTGATTGCTCATGATGCTATGCATTCTAGATTGGAAATGAGTGTGTTATATCTAATAGGGTCTCCCTAGCTTTTCCCTATACTCATTATATGAGATAAGCTAGCTTAGCTTTGTTCTTTTTCTGTTCTTAATCTTCTCCTTCTGTGCTTTTCTGTATATGCAATTCTAGCTATAGTAGTATGGCTATCGTCTATTTTAAGTTTTGGGTCCATTTTCTTTGAAAAAAAAAAATCGCCGTGGGCCAAAAGGGAGGACCGGAGGTGGGTGATTTTATATATATTTCACTTTAATTAATGCCTTCTAATGTGTGGGATCATGGAACTTCATTGCTATGGGGCTCTTTCATATCAGCCGAAGTGGCTGAACTGATTGACTTGTTGCATTGTCTCTTACGGGTATAGTACCTTATCAAGCATGCCATTCAGCCGTTGAGTAGCTCACGAGATAACATCGATTTGAAAATTTTCATGTGCCAAATTACTTGAGATTGTCAAAGTATACATTTTTTTTTAACCTCATGAAGCGTGTTACATGGTGCATAATGTGATGTAAACTTTGAAACAATGAAACAAAATACAAACGCCCCCTCCCTTTCGAACTGAAAAAACAGCAAGAACGTAACAAAAACAAAAGTAAGAAGAGAAGTAATAGAGAGAGAGAGAGAGAGTTTCAGGGTAGAAAATCGACTCAGTTGATAATGAAGACTAAAAACCTTTGGTAAAGATATATTTTAGGGCATCAAATTATATAAATATCTGAAAATTGAAAAGCAAGGGTAGTGAATATATATACCAGAGCTGTGAAGGTTGCCAGCGCAGGTATTAAGCGTTATGAACTCTTACGTTAATAGAAGCTAGAAAAGAAAAGTTTAGGCCCCTATTAGCTAGGTGGTTTGATGTGGGTTGATACTATTAATTATGTAAATATATATGATATGAACACAAGTTCTCTTTTCAAATCTAGGTGGAGTTTTCTATTAAGCTTTGAAAAACAAATAATTCTTAAACATGGTTACATATAATCACTCCAAGTTATGTTGGAAGGAACTCATATTTCGGACCCTCCTTCCAACTCCCAAAGTTGATTAGGTAAGCTTAATTCTAAGACATGGAAGAATTGCATTTGTATATATGCTTAATATATAAAAGACTGTTGGATTCTGATAAAAGGTAATGGAATTTTCATCCATGCTTCAGTTTCAGATAACGCCCTCTGGGTTTTTGAGATGGGCCCCACCCATCCATAAGCTATGGTTGGTGAAAATCCATAAAGCCCATATTAGCTGTCTTTCAACAATAAATTATTAAATATGGCTTTGTGCTGAAGTTTCTTTCAAAGGGTGTTCCACAAGATAAATGCTTAGTGAAAGCAACTCGATCCATCAAACCTTCCCCCCTCCCAAATAAGCCCTATTTAGTTTTCTATTTTATTTCTTATTAATCAGGCCATATTATTATTTATTTGCAAATAACTTCTCCAGCGGCAGCTTGTGATTATTCGAGTTGACAAAAGTCCACGTGAATCAAGCTTTCAGTTTTAAGACACTGAAGGCAAATTCTTTCTCCTAAGGCCAATGAAATAATTTACAGAATATTCTATCTTTTATCTTCTCCCCTAAGAAAATTAAAAGATTTAAAAAAAAAAAAACTAACAACCGATTTGATTCCTAATGGAGCCACGCCAAACAACTACATATATATATATGATGTCCAATTCCTAGAACTAACATCCAGACATGTGACCTCAATTTTTGGTGTTTCTATTGTACTTTTGAAGTTGTCCTCAAGTGAGTGAGTGACAATATGCGATTCCTGTATGTTCCTCTCTGCTATGTCACAGCTACCTACAATCATTATAATGCAGATCAGCTGTTTGACACATGTCGCATACCAATTGTCCTACTCTACTTGACACATGGCAATCTCCAACAACTTGCCGTTAGCCTACAATGTAATTTTGTCGTACCCACATTGTCCTGAAGCATGCAATGAAGTCCGTCCAAGAGGAAGAGGGAATTAGAGGGTGGACCATAACATGTGGGGTTCCTTCTTTCTAAGTTCTAACAACCCACCATCTATCGATCGATGCAGAATAAAAGAAGACGATGCAGAATTCTCAGTAGTATTCCTATGTACGTTTACTAGCCTTAGTGTGTCGTTTGCTCAAGGTACATTTCATTCAGTTTAGTGTCGTTCATGGATAAACCTAGTATGCTCATGAACCAGGACCCAGCAGTTTGGCTCATGGAAGTGACTGCTTGCAGAAGATAAAACTGCATATATGTTTAAGAGTTTGAGCCACATGAATTCATCTTGTACGTACATGTGATAAAAATGGGTTTAAACTAGGAAATTTGTAAGTTAGGTTACCCCATTTGAAGATTAAATTGGAGATTGGATTTGTGAGCGCCTCATACTAATGTCACAGCACATCGCAGCCATACAGGATGTTATCATTCATGAAAAGATGTGCGTTCTGTGAGGAGCAGATCCAAACCCATTAAATTGGGCTCGGGGTACGTAGGGTTTAAGTCCATTGAAACATTTAACGAGGTCCCGAGTCCTCAGTCATCCCCACCCAAATTGCATCTCTCAAATATCATCACATCTATCTTGCCCATAATGGCGGAGGTGTAACTTGTTAGGTTGGGATTTCATCAAAATTTGAATAGGCCGATACAGTGTAAAATCTTTAATTTTTTTTTTCAATGAACACATGATCCCTTTCTTAAAATTCAAAACATCATATGTAGGGTGTCAACGTTATTTGAAAATCTAATTTCAAATTCGATATTCGACATAATCGAATTGAATTCGGATAATTTGAATATTTAAGCGATCAAATTTAGATATCCTATTTTTATCGAATAAACAATCGGATTCAAATTTGGATATGAACCGATTCGATTCGATTCGATAAATATCTAAATTTGATCAATTATTTAATTGTTATATATAATATAAAATATTTTATATAATTTATATATAATAATTAAGTTATATAAAAAAAATTATATATTTATATACTTTATATCAACAAAATATTTATTTTATATATTCATTAATTATCTAAAATAATTAATTAATCAAATTCGAATTGAGTGGAATATTTAAATATTTAATCAATTTTGAATTTGGATATCGGCTTTTCTAATCAAATTCAGATTCAGATATTATTTGATCTGATTCGAATTCGATCTATTTACACTCCTAATCATATGATGTTTTTTTTTTTTTAATTTTCATTGGTGGTTGAATCATATTTGATAAGAGCACATGGATTCAGCATCACTTCACATGTATTGATCATGTACCCACTGTAGAAGCCAAGAGGGTCGATTATGTGGAGCGAGAGTTCGTAAGTTTGGTTTTTGGATGTGATGCACCGTTTCCACCTAATTTTTATTTTAATTTAATAAAAAATCAAGATACAAAACAGAGGTCAGAAATACTAATAAGTTAATCACAGATAGCCATGATAGGTTATGTATTATTCTTAATTAAGCAAGCTGAAATCATGGAACGAACTAAATTTGAATGAAAAGGAACAAAAGAGTAATAGTAGTTTATAAAACCAAGCCTTAAGGCTTAAGCTTGATGCAGTCACATCACCTACGGAATGTGCCGCCAAATGGTGGTCCATATAACAGCCCATAGAATGATGGCTGTCCATCTTATAATCCATTATGAGAGAGAGAACTGTTGAATAAGACTTGGGCATTAGGATCATTCAAAGTGTTAATTTAGTATCCGAATTTTAAAATGTGATTATCTAGTACCCGAATTTTTGAAATGTGATAATCTAATACTTATTGTTAATCATCTATTAAGTGTTATAGGAAAAGATACAAATGCCCTTCAAGTGTCATTTAATTTTCGTTATCAATCATCTATTAATAGGTGACCCCAGGTGTTATATTACTGGTTGATAAAGCAATAACTGTATAACAAATGCCCTTCAAGTTAAACGCATCTCAGCACTCATCAATATTCGAAGGGAAAACTGGGGGTCCACCATTAATAGGCAAAGTGGTGTGGGTCATTGGCTCGGAGGCTGTCCAAGCTGGTTCAACTGAACGAGTATTCCCCATGCACAGTCCCTTGACTACAAGCATCTGTGATAACAACACTCCGAAGCGTTGGATGGTTGGCGATTATCTGTTGCAACAGGTGGTGCCTTGCAAAGGCAGCAATCAAGCATGCAATCGTCCAAACAATCCTCAGTTTCAGTTTACTGTTCATGCAAAACAAACCAGGGAGGTCTCTTCACCTCCCATCGATGCCAAAGACATCAAGCAATCATTCCTATCTCCTTTCTCAATACATGTAAGCTTCATTTTCTGAAAAGAAGTGGTTCCCAGTAACACAACTTTGTAGCGAGCTGCTGAACTGAGCCCTCCATTTCAGCAACAACCCGTCACTGCCACCACCATAGCCATTGAACGGCCGGAGTCGTCAAGGAGTTGTATCCGGAGGGCCTGAATCTCATTGAATCTCTTGAGAACTTTTATGGGGGAATAATGGAAGGGAAACCCATATGAGATGCTCTTCTTCTGATTAGGGGGAAGGGTCTGATCTAGGAACCGAAGAGACTTCAAGGTGATTCTATATTGCAAGAACTTGGCCAAACCTGTAGCTAAGCTGCTTCCATGAGATTAAGAAGAATCACGATCATCAACATCAACGTCGAGGGAGCTGAAGCGAGTCGACTACGAGGGAGCTGAAGCACTTGTAGACGGGGAGGCAGCAACCGAGCGTCTTGGCGTCTTGGATTTTGTTGAAGATGAGACATAAGAGCAAGTCGTGTAGATGGTCGTAGTGATGGTCTAGACTATTGAGAGCTTGGGCTCTATTTCAATAAGATGATGAACAGTGTGTTTTATTTCCAAGGGTAATTTTGATATTTTCAAAAGTCTTAAATCGCACATGTGGTCACGTGCCATTAACGGTAGGTACTAGATTGTCACATTTCAAAAGTTCGGGTACTAGATTGTCGCGTTTTAAAGTTTGAGTACTAAATTGGCACTCGGCCTAAAGTATAGGGTACCTATCGAGAATTTTCCCTTAAATTTTTTGACTCTTCATTTTCCTATTTTAGGGCACATTTAGTTCATGGAACAAGGGTTTGGAATCGGAATCGGATATCGATAATTAAAATTTTAATTGTTTGGTTGGGTGGAATTGGAATCCTATTCCCATTCTTGGTGGAACAATATCCCATTCCAAGTGATTCCAATTTCCATTTCAATTCTTATCTGAATCAAATAGACTATCAGAATAGACCATTTCAATTTTGGTTTTGGTGGATTTTGGTTCCCATTCCAATTCTAACTATGAATCATTATCACCCAAAATTTTAGACAAACTTTTTGTGATTTTAGCCACTTATCACTCGAAATTTTGAATTTAATAATAAAAGTAATAAAATCAATAAAACATGTCTTAAATTTTCAGAATTTAAATAATAATTGTAAGTGCACAAAATGCCTAATATGTTTTTCATTTTCTTTAATAAAGAGTTATGATGGGAGGACACATCTAATGAGAAAACCTGGGATAATAAATAAATAAATAAATAAATAAATATATATATATATATATATATATATATATAAAGCATGTTCTCGTTAGTGCCATGGAGAAACTTTTTCCTACATGCTTTTCCCATAAAAAATTATTTATTAACAGAAAAGAGAAGACAATGAACAGTGTCTTCTTTTGAAGGGTAGTTTTGACATTTTTCAACAAATAACTGACTATCGATTAACGGCAGGGACCAATTTGACAGTTTTTGAAAGTTTAATACTGCAATAACACATTTAAAAATTCAGGCACTAACTTGACACTATCCCCAAACTTCAGGGATATAGGGGGGCTTACCCCACTGAGATCCCTTTAATCTCATTATCTCTCACAGCCAGATGAATAAGAAAGAATAGTATGCCTATGGCTTTGGTTGAAAACTGGAATGGGGCAAAAATGGAAGTGTGGAGTGGAAAAGGAATTTGGATATCCTCTACCTTCTACAGTTTGCAGTACTGGGACCAAACAAAACCCAGAAGACAGAAATTAATTTTTCTATTTGTCCTTCATGTTTCACTTCTTTGCTTCGACTTAGCAGCCCAGCCGGGCCTAAGGCTTGCTTGGCCCAGAGTATTTGTGCAAATAGATGGGCTGTGCCATTTGAGTTTGTCTTAGGAAAATGGACACCGGTCCAAGATAGGGCCAGGCCCAGCATCTTGGGCTGATATTTTTTAAGTAATATCAGGCTTTTGTCATGTACTCTTTACAAGGAATTTAGTCAAGAAAGCAAGCAAGAAATTCTTTTTTTTTTTTTCTTTTCAACAAGCAACTCATCCACTTAGGTAGGCAAAATGTTAAGATAACTTGAAGAATTTTTTTGGAATTTATGTTAAGGTTTTTTTCGCTTTTTGGTAAATTACTTAGGTAAATGCACTTATTCGGGTAAATGTTTTCTGTGAACAAAAATCTATGGGTTTGGGGATGGATTACCCCCAACCCCCGCCTCTTGTGTAGCCCTTGGAACAAAAAAAAAAAAAGAAAGTGGAGGCACTTTGATAAAATCCATATATATCTTCTGATATAATACCAAATACCCCAAGAAATATTACATAGTGAATCACAAAGCTTTATGATTTATATATAGTGTTTTATTGTTGGAACTTCAAAAATGTGTGCACTACATTTCTTTTATCATTTCGAGTTATTTGGTTGCAACAAACTCTGGTTGATCTGCAGGACTCAGGAGAGAATTGAACCATTAATGTAACATAAATATTAGTTCGAGAGAGCATCATGAAAATGTTCCAAAATGTGTAACCTCAGTCTTTTGTGTGGTGTTTAATTTCTTTGCAATTCCTATTTATGATATGGATATTGGAATTAACGAATAACTGCAAGATGTCTTGATTGTAGAGTTCCCCCAAAGTGAGTGAGACATTGAATACAGTAGTTAAAAGGCACTCATGCGAAGATCATTATAACCACAATGGTGAGGATCCAGTTGAGAATGGTATACGTTCCAAAGGAAAACAATGACCCAGATATAGAGTAGGTGATAATGGAGAAAAAGAAAAAGAAGCATGAATTTAAGAAGGTCCAGGAGACAATCCAAGTTCAAGGCCGACAAGGAAATACAAGGCTTTCACCCCCAGTATACTTGGCTTTTGTTTTTCTTAATTTTTGGTTGGTATTTGGAGCAATTTTGCCCTTGATGTAGTCTTGAGGGTCAAATCACCTTCCCCCCGCCCCTTCTTGTTTTGTATCAATAATGCTTTCTTTTTTCGAAAAGAAAAGACCAAGTATAGATGCCTTGGATTGAGCAAGCAAACTTCGCAATGCTGTGGGCCACTCGGTTAAAGGTTAAAGTTTCATCCTATGCGATGGAAACTATACATAGCAAAGGAAAAGGCCATGTTTGAGAGTTCATATGTTCAAAATAAGTGCTTAAAAACAAGTGTTTATTCAAATAAGTACTTATTTGTATTTGGCACCCAGTCTTTTCAAGTGATTATTTTTCCATATTGGGCATTTCATGGTCTTTTTCTCCAATAAGCACTTAAATAAGCAATTGCGATTCTTTTGTCCTTCATTTTCCTTCAATTTTTCAAAATATCCAATCCAAAGTGAATGAATAAAAATACTTTGACAGAAGTGCTTTTATAAAAGCGAATTTGTAGAAGTGCTTTTATAAAAATGTTTTCACAAAAGTACTTTTATAAAAGTGTTTCGTAAAAGTGTTTTCATAAAAGTACTTTTCATAAAATTAATTTCATAAAAATGCCTTTGTAAAAGTGATTTTATAAAAGAGTATAATTGGTATTTTAAAAAATTACCAAGGACAATATTATGGGAGAAAAATTTTGAATAAATACTTCTTGTATGAGCACTTAAAAAAAGTTGGAAATTTGGGCTTAAAAAATAAATCCTTATTTTTAAAATAAGCACTTATTTCGTGCTTATTTTCCAAATACCAATAAGTGCTTAATGATCCAAATAAACACTTATTTAAATAAGCACTCCCAAACATGGCCAAAGACTAATAAACTTTTGCAATCCTTCATTAATTGGGTGATGCACCAAGGCAACGAGGAATTCGCCAATAGAAGTTTGTTAAGTGAAAAACAATCACTCTCAATCTGAATTTAACTAGGCCAAGTTCCAAAACAAACTTTAGAACATGAAATAAAGCAAAAGCCTCGACATCTTCTACAAAGACCACCACCACCTATGATCTAATTGCTCGACCATAAATAAATCCCCTTTCTCATTTTTTATGACAATACTAGCACCTGCCCCATAAGGGTTTGAACTTTGAAGAACCCTCAATATTAATTTTGATGTAGCTAGCTGGCGAGAGGCGAGGGAATCTAGTGAGCAACCCCACTAAGAGCGGGCTGATGAAAGCTAGCATCTACTGACCGGTAATTAGGAATATCACAATTGGTTTTCTATTTTAATTCTTCTTAATAAAGCCCACACGTCACGTAGGTACTGACCGGTAGTTAGAAATTGTTGTCATAAATACATGGAAAGCTTTTTTTACCGTCTAACAGATGTTTGGATCATTCGTACAAGGAGTTTTGTATAAATTTTTAAGTCCAAACAAGATTTAGAATATCCTTATTGTATGGTATGTATGAATTTTTTAACTTACCAAAATGCCATTTAAAGAGATTTAGGGACACTCTAGGTTTAATCATTATAACCTCTTATCTTACTTGATCTTAATGTTGGAAAATAGGGTCACTAAAACTTAGAAGAGAAGTTTTGAGAGGCATATGAAGATATTGTCTTTAAAACATTATTTGCCCCCATTCAGTTTCATTGAATTTGCTGTTGGGTTATAGATAAATTCGTTCCCAAGATACAATAGAGCTTTGGACAAGAATCTACAACCAACAAAATTGAAGAGTCTCCAAAGAAACTTTCTATGAGACTATAGCAAATCGGATTGAGAGAGAGAGAGAGTGAGTGAGTGAGTGATTTTCGAAAATGTTGTGTGTTTAAAACTTGATTCATATTCCTTAAATAGTTTCTAAAAAGTTACGAAGAAAATGTAGGTATTGGTTAAGAAAAAGGCACGTTGAACGTTCACAACACAATTGTGATTGATATTTTATGAGCAAGCCTCGCAACACAGCTCCCTCCGCTAGTCTATTTTAAAATACAACCAATGTTACTAATGTACGGTAGGATGCGCGTGGTTAGCAATGTGTCGTAATCAACAAACTATGCCGATGTGGCTGATTTTCAAGATGGGACCTCTCAAACCAAGGATCAGATCCTCTCTACTTAGACACTTGGCGGTTGAAGAGGGCGTTTCATCACAATTACGATGGGACAACTCCCACTGTAACGTTGCAAAACCGCGAAAGAAATTGCGAAGTGTACACGGCATCGGCATGCTCGCCTGCTCGGAGACCGGAGATGAGAGCTAAGGTGAGAACTCCAATCACTTCGGCTTCTTTTAATACATTTTAATTTCATTGTTAAGATTCAGATTCTGGACTAGACTGGATGTTTTCAGAAAATCGAGTGCAGTTCGAGGGGATTTTTTTTTGGTTATTGTTTTCATTTTCTACATGAGATCTATTTGGTTTTCCTCTAATAATTTCACAAATGCAAAATCCTAAGTCTTTCTTGGATCACTTCATGAATGCTTCTTTTAAGTGAGGTCTCTGTGTCGAAATCTCGTGGGTGAATTAGAGGTTCTGGTTCGTTTCCCTTTTCTCGTGGTATGGATCTTCTTTGTGTTCATAACCTCTGGAATATCACTCTGACAGTCTGACTTCAACGTTTGACTGGTTTCCAAACATTTTAAGGTGCATTTTGCTCATAGATTTATTTGCCTTTTGTTTCTTACCGAAGTTTATATGCGAGATTGATTTGATTTAGGACAAAGTAGATGTTGAGACTCCTAGAGCAGGTCACGCTCATAGTTCCTGAAAAGATTAGAGTAAGAATATACAATTTTATTAGGCAACTTAGATTTCAGTTTGTACTTTACCATTTCTCTTGTATATTGTAGATGTAGTATGGTTTTTGGGAATAGAGAGAAGAATTGTTTTAGGAGCAGTTGCACTGCTGGAGGATTTTCCCCCTCGAAGATGCATACCCCTTTGAAGCAGACCGTTCCGACCATTTTCTGTATTTTGTTTTTAGTTTTGATCTTGGGGGATTATAGCATCAGTTAAATCCAATTCTATGGGATGTTATATCTCACCCGCAAATTCCAACATTGCTGACAGTTGAAACCTGGAACTGTATTAAGTTTCTGAAATCTTATCCATGAAACATCCTTGAGCGATAGACTACTGACTTAAAACTTCAGCATCTTTCTTGATCTTGTGTTTCTAACCTAATAATCTATAATGGCTTATTGTTAAGGGTATGGAAATTGTTGGGCATCCAACTTTCTTTTAGACAACTTTAGCAGGATATTAATTGAATATTGTGCATCATGATACAACTCATGGAGTTGGGGTGAGAATTTTACTCTCACACTTTTGAAATTGTGCTTGGCTTTACTGTCAGAAGAGGAGTTCGTTATATCTTGGTTAGGGATGAGTTAAGAAGTATTTCCACAGACTTTGTAACCAGAGGATGGAGAACTATATTGTTCTCATTGGATTTCAGTTGGCTGCAGTTCAGGATTGGATCTCTTCACAATAAAAAAGTAAAACCAAAAAGAAAAGGGAAGGAAAAGAACATTGGTTATGGTCTGTCAGAGAACCTAGGGCCTTCTGGAGTTGCTAACCTAGAGATCAGGTTGGGAAGGTTATCATTGCTTGCTCCAGTTGAATTGGAGCTGGAGTCTTCTTGACTTTTTATTTATTTTTTTGACTTGTGAAGTTGGGATTGTTACAAGGGCTTAGGCTAATTTGTCATTAAGGTTTTAGTATGTGGGGTAAAGGGACAATTCCCAGGTTTATCACTGATTGGATATGGGACAGTTCAGATGGTTCTTGGTGTTTGAGATATCACATCAGGAAGGTGATATCGTTGATTTCTAGTTCTAGATTGAACATCTTGTTCAGATGGCACACTAGGTTCAAAATCCATTAGCTGATAATTTTGCTAGGGATTGGGGGGAGTTAATTATTTTAAGGAACTTCTCTTTTAGGGTAGTTTCTTTCTAATTATCTTTTTTTTCCTACTATGGTTGCATGGGTATGCCTATTTTAAGGTTTTCTTTTGGATACTTCAATTGCTTGGTTAACATAACTTTGTTCTTTTCCTTTTCTTCTTAATATAGGTTTTTGATTACTGATGAAAATCAATAAAAATAAAAGTTCAAACCCTTGAACTTACAGAGAAGCCTGTCTTTTTGAGCATATGCATAACACGACCATGTGTCACAACAGGCCTTTGTGGCCTCACACACAAAAAAGACTCAGGTTTAGGGTGTCTCTTAAGCAGATAGAAAGAAATTAAAGAAGGGAATGGAGAAAGATCTGTTCATGTCAGCTCATATGGATCCTACTAAAATTCACATGTGCTTGCAAATTTATTTTTTTACCTTTGTTTTATTTTTCTCATAATCATTGAAATGGCTGTAAATGGCTTTTTTACTTTTTAATTCTCACTAGAAGATTTTATTTGTGAATTAGATGGCATATTACCATTTGGTTGCCTTTCTTGTGGCGCTTTCTTGTTTCCTTGGAGTACTCAATGCTAGTGCTGGTGATGTTGATCCACAATACAGGTCAGCTTCAGTGTTCTTCTTATGATCATTCCAATAATAATTTTTGATATGTCAGTTTTTTTTTCATTATATGAACTTCATCAATGATATCATTGTAGTTTTAATAGTTTTTACTGGAAAACTTTGGACTTTCTGGTTGGTAGAGGAATGGGATTGGGTACTTATAGTTCAGAAAACTGGAAAATGTTAAAAAGGAATTCTTTTATCTGAAAAAAAAAACATGAACTAGGGATTTGCACTGACTGATCAACCCTTCTCTCTTGGGAGTACATGTCTTTATAGCCTTCAAAAATAATCTAATGCATCAAATTTAAAGTTAAATTGAGACTTATTATTATTATTTTTGATCAATAACACTTTCATTAAATCATCAATAGAAGATTTACAAGAGGAAGACAAACACACTTATCTTCAGTTGAAAAACAACCCACTTGATGTATGGAACTGTTTGATATTAGATGCAAACCAGAAAATGAACAAACAAGAGAGGAAGAGAAGAGAGAGCTGACGGCAATGAGTGTTAGAGAGTAAGAGGTTCGAACATAACCACTCTCTAACACTCTAAACATCTTATTAATAAGTTAATCTTTTACAAATTACAGAGAGGCCCTTGAGAGAGCAGGAAAATACAAAAACAGACTATTATAGAGTATGGGCCCAGAATAAGGCCCACAACAGAGAGAAAYATAACATAACATAAAATGACAGTCTATGGGCCATTCGGCCCATCTTCTCTACACTCCCCYTCAAGYTGAGCATAGATRTTAMTCATGCCCAGCTTGCCAGTGTCATGTTGAAGCCTTGCCTTGGAAATGCCCTTGGTGAGAAAATCTGCCAATTGTCCTTCAGAAGTAATGAATGGAAGACAC